CTCAGCCCCCTCCGCCGTTCCCTGCGGTACGAAGTCAGCCTCGTCCCGGCTCTTCCCTGCAGCGCGGGGCCGGCTGGAGGCAGGGAGGTTATTTTCAGCGCCGTTCTGAACATAAACACGAACGTTCAGGGCTCGAAAAGCCTCGGCGATAGAGCACGAGTCAGACGTGGCATCACGAGACAGCCCGCAGCCGTCCCGCTCGGCTCTGGAACGAGGAACACACGGGTGGAAAAAACCCTTCTCCTGAAGATGTTCACGGGTACATTAAATCACTGTATAATCCTGTAAGCACACTTACTAAATAAAGTTAAATAATGCACTTAGGCCTATTTGTATTTTATTTTTATTGCAGAAAAAAGTAAATTATAAAATTAATTTTCATACAGGTGAAAATGTAATTAAGTTGAGAAAAACAGGACAATTTTCCATGATTTCCATTATACTGGTGAAACAGCAACACGGAAACTACATTTTGTAAAGGCAAGAAAACTGATGAACAACACTTGCAAAAATGTATATAAAGGCACAGGAAATTCAAAGGTGAACACGTGAAAATACAAATTGTTTAAAAGACTGTAAAAGGTCACCAATAGAGAAATTGTTTTACAAAAATGGTGATTTTATTTTGCAGGAGTAGTCCTTCTTCTTGGTCTATCAAGGCTAATCTTCTGGGAGAGAAGAACAGCGTCCACAACGCAGAGAATAAGCAATACAAGACCAAGCACCTATAAAAACAACGTTAGTTCCCCACAGAATCTCTTATCTTTTACTGTAGTGACTCATCTACCATTACTCAAAGCAGCAGTAAACACATTTTCCTAACTTGCTTCTGGCTTTCTAAATATATGTGTGATGTGAGACAGCTGATAAATTAAATAACATCCATATTTAATCCCATCAGCCTTTCATACAGCAGCCTACACCCTGGCTTTGTTTGATGTTTGTGTGAAGCCTGGAGATGGTGTGTTCTCCTTTGAAAGCTAAGCTAATGCTGCATTATGCCAGACAATGCTTTTATCCTAAATGAAAACCCTTCTGTCTCTTTAAGGACTGCCTAATTAATGGTATTGGCCTGGAGAAAAGTCAACATCTGTAGAAACAAGCATAGCAGGAAAAAAAATAATGCTCCTCTCCTCTGGAGCTCTGAATGGGAAACATATTCCAAATTGAAGAAAATGTAATATTTAAAAATACACAACTTGAGGCTGGCAACTGGAAAATGTGATTGCCAAACGGCCACGGAGTTAACCTGCTCAGCTCTTGCCCTTGAGCCCGATCCCACATGCACGCAATTTATTTTTTTTTTTCAAGCATGTATTAAAATGGAATTACCTGATCAGTGGCAGTAATGCTAAGGCAAGCTGTCCAGGCACAGTTCAAGGCCGAGTGCAGGCCTAGGGGCAGTTGTTTCTCCTGACGTTGAAGATCTCATATGTTCTGCCCAAACTTGTTTTCCAAGCTACTTGCTTAGTCTCCTTCTTCCAACTTTAATTTCTATTAACTTCACAACTGAGAATATAACATATATTCTAACATCCTAACAGTCACTTTATCAGAAAGTTTCCTTTTTGCTTAGGATGTCATTGCCAGCAAAGACGTCAGCTTTCCACCCTGTTGTCTCTTAAGCAGATTTTGAAAAACTCATGTGGCAAGTTTTGTGTATCTTTTGGTTGCTTGTCACATTTTAGCTCACCTTGTGAATGTATTTGCATCTCCTGAAGTACAACTAGAAGTTTTTTCCCCTCTCTTATCATTTATTAATGTTAATTAGTTTTCATTTAAATTAAAGATACCTGTTACTTAAACTACTAAACTGGTTTGATATTAGTACACAAAAATCTTACAATCATAGTATGAAAAAACCTTTTCAACTGCTGTAATTTCTCAGTTTGTGTCAGAAGATCAGGAGGGAGGTACCAGCGTGTCTGTTAAAAAGTCTGAACTCTTTCTAGCAGGACTGTAGGCATTTCTTCTTAAACAGTGTAACCAAACTGGGTGGTCCTAAAAGAGCTATGGAATCTCCCACCCAGCTTTTCAGGCTATGGAAGCAAATGCAGGTTACTCCAATTAGTTAAACTCTAGGAGTTTTCAGTGTTAGTATACTTCTCTGTAGTAATGCCTACGTCTAGTAATATCTTTACATTACTAGTGATGTAAGGATTTTTTTTTTTAGTGAGATACATTCAATGTGTATTCACTTTTGTCTGCAACTTCTGCATACGTTCTTCCATGACAGTCATTTTCATGTCTACTTTAAGAACTGAAATTCGTTAATTATTTTCCTACTTACTCCTCCAGCCAGTGTCCCATTGTTGGTCTTGATTATTACTGCAAACAGGCACACAACGAGGAGGAACAACGCTGAAATCACCGAGTTGAAAATCTCCTGAAACGGCCAGTGGAAGCAAAATATTTATTTTGGAATACATGCCTGAGGAAGAATATGCCTAGCTCCCAATATTGTATGAATCGTTAAAAATTGCTGGTTTACTATGAAAATGGAATTACGGTTAACATCCACGTAAGATCGATAGTGACACCCAGTGGTTTGATGTTGAAAAGAGTGTTTGTGGTAACACTTCCTCATTTTACCTTTTTTTGGCAGTCAAATTTATGCAGCTTGGCTACGGTTGACAGGCTAAAGCGGCAAATAAATTTAGAAAAGGGAGCTAAGAGGCGAACTCATTGATACTGAGGTGAAAGCGTACATTTACTTTGTGCTGTGAAGGCTGAAGCCACAGCGTTACCAAGTTAAGCCAACGATGCTCGTTACAGGAGGGATGTTGAGGGCCGGCAGCCGGTGCAGGAGAACACCGCCCCCCCTGCCGGGGAAAGGCGCTGCCGCAGGACCGAACCGAACTGCTGCTTAACCTCCCGGAGCCACGGACTGAGGCGGTGGCC